TCCTGCAGGAAATGACCCCCGCTCTTATGAAGGCCTCGGCCTCTCTGCCCTGTGGTTGGTCCTCCAGAGGAACTGGTTGGCCCCTGTGTGAGACAGGAGGCTGGACTAGAGGGACCCTCACTGGTCTGATCCAGCAGGGCTCTTCTGAGGTTCTTATGAGATCAGACTAGACTGAGCCAACCACGTCAAAACATGAATACAGTAAGGGAAATAGTGATCGGGGGGAGGGGGTTAACAAATCACCCCGCCCCCGCATTTACAGAATGCATTTTGATGGCAGAATTCGCAGAACGACTGCCTTAAGATACTCCAAAACACCCCCCCCCCCACGTCTCACTCACCTGCAGTTCCCTGGAAAGAGTTGCGCCAGAGAGGTCCATGGGTTGGGGGTTGTAACCATGGCTGGGGTCATAGACCTATGTGGAGAAGAGAGGGACAAAAAAAAAACATTGACACCCACCAGGCTCCCATGCAACCACTCCGTGCTCCCCCCCCCAAGAGTTCCACACTTCTTAGCCTCAAAAGCTGTAAACAGAACCAAGGAGTTCTGGTGCCCCTGCTTTTAACTCCCAGGACTAAGAAACAGGTGGGGAAAAGACAAGAATACTTGGCTGCAGACCTTCCTGCCCTCCCCACTAACCATACAAGCAACTCTCTCTGGGCGAAGATTTCAGGAAGAAGGAGGAGGAGGAGGAGGAGGAGGAGGAGGAGATTGGATTTATACCCCTCCCTTCACTACCCGAAGGAGTCTCAGAGCGGCTTACAAGTTCCTTCCCCTCCCCCACAACAGACACCCTGTGAGGTAGGTGGGCCTGAGAGAGCTCTTTTGAGAACTGCCCTTGAGAGAAAAGCTCTGAGAAAACTTGTGACTGACCCAAGGTCACACCAGCAGCTGCATGTGGAGGAAGAGAAGAAGAGATTGGATTTATACCCTGCCCTTCAGTACCCGAAGGAGTCTCAGAGCGGCTTACAAACTCCTTTCCCTTCTCCTCCCCACAACAGACACCCTGTGAGGTAGGTGGGCCTGAGAGAGCTCTTTTGAGAACGGCCCTTGAGAGAACAGCTCTGAGAGAACTTGTGACTGACCCAAGGTCACAGCAGCAGCTGCATGTGTAGGAGAAGAAGAGATTGGATTTATACCCTGCCCTTCAGTACCCGAAGGAGTCTCAGAGCGGCTTACAAACTCCTTTCCCTCCCCCTCCCCACAACAGACACCCTGTGAGGTGGGCGGGGCTGAGAGAGCTCTCTCGAGAAATGACTTTGAGAGAATAGCTCGGAGAGAACTTGTGAGTGACCCAAGGTCACCCAGCTGGCTGCAAGTGGAGGAGTGGGGAATCAAACCCGGTTCTCCCAGATTAGAGTCCGCGCACTTAACCGCTACACCAAACTGGTGTACAAATCCCAAGATCCATCATTTCTACGGCTGTGTAGCACGGGTGTCCCCGACCTTTTTGAGGCTGGGGGCACCTCTGGGATTTTTGACAGGTGGTGGTGGTGGTGAGCGGTGACCCAAAATGGCTGCCTCTAGAGGTGGAGCCAATATCCTCCCCCCTTCACACCTCCTGGGAAGAAGGAAATCTTGAACGGGAAATCGAGCCACACTCTCGGGTAAGGAAAGCCTTCCTCATCATTCGGTGGGAAATCCTTCCGTCTTAAAGAGGGCAGCCAGTAACATGCTCGGATTTACAATCCCGTCACTTTCTGAAAAGCTCAGTGGGTGCCAAGGGAAGTATTATTGGCAGGGCTTTTTTTGTAGAAAAGGTCCAGCAGGAACGCATTAGCATAATTGGCCACACCCAACAGCAGAAACTCATTAGCATATTAGGCCACACCCCTGGCAGCACAGGTCATTAGCATATTAGGCTACACCCCCATGTTACCAGCAGTGTGGTCATCCAGCCACACCCACCTTTTGCTTCTTATTCTGTTTACCTTGTTTGTTGTCAAAACCCAGGGCTTTTTTTGGAGCAGGAACTCCTTTGCCTGTTTGGCCACACACACCTAATGTAGCCAATCCTAATGAGTTTCTGCTGTTGGGTGTGGCCTATTATGCTAATGAGTTCCTGCTGGGCGTGGCCAACTCGGGAGCCTTTTTTTGGTGAGTTCCTGCCCAAAAATAGCCCTTATTATTGGGCCCTATTTGGGGGGGGGGGTGGCTGGTCTAGCAGTGCATACTCTCAGATTTGCTGGTGGCAGTGGTTACGACCCGTGATCCCTCTAAGCTGTGGAGCCTTGTGAGCAAAAATTCTACTTTTTGAGCTCCTGACATTAAACTTGTGAGTGAGCAATCTGGCTACTGTATAAAATTAGTTTGCTCCGGAGCCCTCCTTCCTGAGCTAAGACAACCATGTGTGAGCCGGAGGCTAAAAAAACTGTGAGCTAGCTCACGCTGACTCAGCTTAGAGGGAACATTGGTTACTACCTAGTGAGACATTTGGAACCCCCCTGTGACTAAGAGAAAGGCCTGGCATCACCAAGCAGAGGCTCAGGGCAGCCGTAGGGTTCTTCTGACCTCCTGGGACCAGGCCCATAGCTCCGGAGGGGCTTTTAGGGGCTCTGCCCCCTTTCTTAAAGGCACAGCCCCACAAGAATTTCTCCTGGAAATGCTTTTTTCAATCATTCCAAAACATTTTTTTAAAGGTGTGTGCTCCTGTAAGCAGAATGGGGTGCTGTAGTTGACTAAATTCCCGCACTGAGCAAGGGGGTTGGAGTAGGTGATCTCTAGGATCCCTTCTAACTCTGTGTCAAGAAACTGGTCTCCTTTCAGAGAGTTTTTCTGCCTAAGTGTGAGCTTTCTTGACCATAGAAGTCATCACCCCCGCCTGCCGACTTGTTATCAGAATTGCTGCTTAGGCTGGCAGAAGCGATTAACTTGCAGCGGTTGAGAACTGTCATCTGAAGTGGTTGAATGCTTGCAATTTATCCTGGTATCCTGATAACAGATCTATCCCGTTAACCACTTTCTATCGGCTAAACGGCTTTTCTTTCTGCACTGAGAACCTCAACTCCACCAGAAGAAAATTTGCCCCACAAGCCACAAAATCCTGGCTACGGGCCTGCACGGGACTCAAAGGAAGGGGGCTTGCGAGTCCATTCCTGGGCACCATTCTATGTAAGGAGTAGTTTGCCGATTCGCCTCCACCCAGAACATTAGCTCTCTTTCTACAGGCAGACTAGGAGGACACACCTGGGCTGTCTGTGAGATTTTGCGGGACTTTTTCTTCTCTGTCTTCTCTTCCTCGCCCTCGCGGGCTTTCTCGACAGTCCACTCCCACGCGATCATGGCCTTCAGGGACTCCTTGATGGGCCACCGATAAATCTCCTTATCCTAGAGGGAGACAGCAGGATGGCTGAGCGATGCCCACAGGATGGAAAAGGGGGGGACTAAAGGCAACAACCAAGGCTTAGGTCCCCAGGTGTATTCTGGGAGAATTTTGCCCAGTCTGGAATTCAGAATCACATGGAGCAGGGCCCCCTCCCCCAACATCTTGAGCAATTTGGAGGCACCTTCTGAATTCTGACACAGGGTGGTGGGCGCAAGCACAAAATGGCTGCCACGGGAGGCATCGCCAGCCACAAAAATGGACGCCACGGGAGGCAAAGCCACACACAGAAGAAACCCAGCAAATTTTGGCGGGCCGATTCAATCAAACTCCATTGGCCCATCGTCTATGTATTTGTGGTACCCACGAACTTGAGGATTTACCTCACTATATTCTCTTTTGCCCACTGTATTCTATTCCGAGGGCTAAATTTTTAGCAGGTATTTCATCTGGTCTTAGTGCTTACCCAGTTGAGGAAAAAAATATCATTTTTGTTATCTGAGGCCCCAGACACATGTGCCGGAAAACGCGGGGGGGGAGGCATGGCTATTTGCGCCGTTGCATTCTGATCCGCCGTTATGCAATCAGACGTGATGGCGGCGCACCAGGGTTTCGTCCTTTGGCGCACGCTGCAAAGAAGACGGCTGGAGGGAATAGGTGCAATCACACCGAACGAGTCCATCTGCAGCCCGTGCCAATCCATTTGCTAGTAGATCTTTGCAGGTACTTTTTAACTGCGCATCTTCGGCGCATACGTCTCTTACAAAGTTTCATTATTTGCCCTTGTTGGAACGAATATACATTCCACGGTGGCATCGGAAAGGGGCATTATTTAGCCTACCGTCTTAAATTAGTCATATTTTGTTACTGATCTCTGGTATTTTTGCATATCCTGACTCTAACCTATAGCTCGTTCACAATTTGTGTTTCGTAATTTTGTAACGGCGAATGGCTAATTACGATAAACTAAACTGAAACACAGAAGGAACCCAACTGCAAAGGAGAAGAGGGGTAATTTAGAAAAAGATACGCTGGGGAAAAAGGAGCGAGCAAGGGAGTAAAACTAACACTGTGGTGGCAGCGGGGCCGACACGTGATTTTAATCTGCACAGCCGACTGGATCTCCAGTGGCCAATCAGAAGCCCTGCTGGGAAGAGGCCAACCTGGCCCTGCCCACTTTCTATAAACACTTGGTGGGCTCCTGGAAAGGTGACGGCTGGCAGCACGGTGCCTACGGATGCCACGCTGGTGACCCCTGACGTGACGCTTGGGGCTCTTTAGCTTGGAGAAACGACGGCTGAGGGGTGACATGATCGAGGTTTATAAGATTATGCATGGGACAGAGCAGGTAGAGGAAGAGGTACTTTTCTTCCATTTTCACAATACAAGAACTCGTGGGCACTCCATGAAATTGCTGAGCAGTCAAGTTAGAACAGATAAAAGGGAGTCCTTCTCCACCCAAAGGGTGGTTAACACGTGGAATCCACTGCCACAGGAGGTAGCGGCGGCTACAAGCATGGACGGCTTCAAGAGGGAATTAGATAAACATCTGGAGCAGAGGTCCATCGGTGGCTATTAGCCATAAGGTTTAGGAAGGAACTCTCGGTCTGAGGCAAGGGATGC